ATATAGGTAACTTTATACAGAGGAAGGGCTGCATTGATTAGATTCTGCTATTCTGTAAGGGTAGGTGGGAGGGACCCGCTTCCAGGTGATCAGAATGATCTTCTTTGCTTAGAAATATAATATGCTTAACAACTGTTTGGAATGAGAGCTCATCGGGAGAAGTTTCAAGAAATTCCATATTATAAATATTTGTGACCAGAATGATTGCACCCCAGGATAAAGTTTATGTAAGCACTAAGGTGTGTAATAGATTTGGTGGTATAACTTAAGCAGTATAAACCTATCTTTGGATGATATGACTAAAGTCAATACGTTTTCCCCTACGTTTTTCCTATCTTCTTCCTATAATTGGTGCGTTATTTCATGCCACTTAGACCTAACCCAAGAAGGGAGAGTTCCTTTAGTGCTTAGAATTTCTGAGTTATAGTGGGAGATCACTTTGATCTCATCAGGGGATAGCAGGAGTTTTTCCAGTGATGTTTGATAGAGCTTGACCACGAGGTAGTGGAATTGAGCATAGACTGCAGCAAATGCAGAGAACAAGGCCACACACTAATTATTATTATTATACAGTATTTATAAAGCGCCAATAGTTCGCTCAGCGCTGTACATTACAAAGGGGGACAGAACATGTGACAGAACAACAACAATACAATGCAAAACATGAGGGGATTCGAGGGCCCTGCTCTTTCGAGCTTACAATCTAGGAGATTATGTCACACCATGTGATTTATCTATTTAAGCTGTATTCATGCGCAGTCTCCACGCGTAGCCAATACCCTATGACGCATTTCACCCTTATTGGGCTTAGTCTTTTTCTTGAAGTCCACTATAAAAAAATCTTTTTCTTGAGGGACAGAGATCCCAACTCTCGAACAACTCAAAAAACTGAAGCATGACAGTTAGGGAAGGCGTTATAAGGGGGTCGGCCTTCAATGTTTTATTTGTTTGCCAGTATCCACCTTCTGAGGGTAGCTGCATATACCCCTATTGTCTACGAATTTGTACATTTCTATGGCCCTCAATGGACTTCAAAAAAAGATATGTACAGTAAGTACAAAAATCTTATTTTTTATTAAAAATAAATATGGCGGTTATGATACAAAGTGCTTTTGGAAATGAAATATCCAGTAGGTCTACTTTAGGTACTTGAGAAATTATATATATTTTTTTATAGTCAGATTTTATTGAAATGTTATCAATATAGAAAAAAAGGGATTAAAAAAAAGACAGTTACATAAAAACAGGTATTGTACAACATACCATAAGAATTCAAAAGATCAAGGAGTTCAAATGCAGGGGAACATCCAAAGAATTGAGAAAATAATTATTAGTTTAAAAGGAAACTATGAGCAGCTATTTCAGTGCCTACACATATTACACACACAGATACAACAATGCAGTACTGTTCCTTCCTTCTTAGGCAAAGTCATTGCAGTCACCATAATTAAAGTTCTTTTAAAGGGGCGCAAAGAACGCAACATATACTCACCTGACAAAACCGCCTATGCTTCTTCACCCTCTTTCAGAGCTATGACCTTTGAAGGTATCTTCACTTTTGACGCTTTTGTGTATTTCTTGTGCTGCATCCCTCACAGGGTTCTGTGGTTTCTTTGAATTGACCACTACATCACTGCTGCCTCTTGTAGTGATATAGCAGCCGGCAGAAAGAATCACAGCTTGCAGTGGGTACTAGGCACACTTCTGGGTGAAGACGTTGTAACCATGGAAGAAAGGAGTAAATGGTAGAAGGACTGGTAAAACTAAAAAGTCGTCTTTTGCATGTCCTGTTTAGTATGTGTCCCAACCCATCCACATGGTCCCTTTACTGCACTTCAGTTCTCATTTGATTTTAACTGGACAATACCAATTTTACAATACACCTTTTACTGTGTGTGCTTTGGCCAAAAGGATATTCATCATACTCGTACTATGACCCTGTTTGATTTTAAAGGATTCTATGCATGTGGCAGATGTTATGCGTACAGCAGGTCCACACAAAATCAGAGGAGAAGAATTTGAGATTAAGGATTGTATTACATGTCACACAGAAGGGGTGGTCTATGCCATCTCATGTCCTTTTCAGTCACAGTATATAGGTAGGACCAAAAGGATTTTAGCTAAAAGATTAAAGGAACTTTCCTACAATATTTCCAGAGGTTACCCCAAACATAGTTTGTCACTACACTTTAAAGAACATCATAACAGTGACCCTTCACTTATGCAATTTTGGGGTATAGAAAAATATAAAAAGAATTGGAGAGGCAGTAACGAGGTAAAGCAGAATTGAAGTGGATTTTTATATTGAAAACTCTTATACCCAGAGGTTTGAACGTGGACTTTGATGTCAACAGTTTTATTGAATAATGTAAATGACTGCTGAAATTGATGTCTAGTTTGTAGATTTTTTCATTACTACACCAAATTTTAAATAGTATCTTAGCCACCTATGAATTTTGTTTCATTCTATTTTATTTTATTTTAGCTGCTCAACACAAGTAACAGCTCCTATAGGCTGTATCATTGATATGGCGTTATTGTGGAAGGTTACTATGGCAGCCATCCATTCATAAAAGACTTCCTGTCACCACTCCACGCATCCTCTGATGAAGCCACGCAGGCATAACGCGTAAGGGCGCTAAGTGGAGTGAGTGACTTACACACCAGCATATTGCTTCATTGCCGGCGGTATTACACGTACCATAGTAACAGTACAAGATCAGGAGATGAGAGGAGAGGGAATATAGTGACCTCTCACAAGGAGCTTCCATCAGCTGCGGCAATCATACAGATCATCACCCCGATACTGCTGTTATCTGTAGTGCACCAGGCATGTGCACTTTCCTTGAGAGTGTTTGCTTTTAATCTTTTACACGGGTACACACTATGTGATTTTTCTCTTCTCATATCAGCACAATCAGACCAAAGTTTAGTAGGTCTATCCATCAGGTGAGAGGCTGAAGCTGTAGGTTCTCACTAGTGGTGATTTCGTTCTATTGCTCTTGAACACTTGGACGGAAGGGAACGTTTTCATACTTATCCATGGAGACTTTTTTCACCTGAATGTTTCTATATGTTATTTTGATGAATTGTTACATTACTATTCTGATACATTTGGATTGTTGCCTCAAGGGGATTCTTATCTTGTTTATATATTGAGAATGGATACATAGTTTATGTGTACTTCCAGCACTCTCAGTCTGTAACGCTGTTTTGCTTTTTCTATTGCTGTTCAGATATGTGGTGTGATCATATGAGGACTCAACAGCAGCAGATTATTTGTGATATTTTTCTCATACATTAGCCTATTTCAGATTGTGCACAGGTGCTTTTATTATTATTTTACTCATTCATATTGCCTTCATCTAGTGATCAAGCTGTCTGTGGGCACCCTGACACAGATGTTCCAGTACAAGTTTGACTCAGAGACAGCACAGTGGTTTACAGTTATCTCCATTGTTAATTAACTTGTCAGCTAGAAGCATGCAAGTATTTAGGGATAGCTTTTGATTTTATTTAAAAAAATCTTAGCAGGTGATTAGTTTGAAAATAAAAGCATATGCTTGATCTTGTGTGCAGCCAGGGAAAGAACTGTTGTGACTACTGTATGTTGCCTTTTAAGGCCACATGCACACAGATGTGTTCAGCTACCCATTGTTATGAATGGCTGTATGCTAACAAGGCCTGGGTAAACGCTGTGTTTGCATTAAGTCAGGCACATGCGTAAATCCTTCTATATGGCTTTTTTGTGCTCCCACAGATTTATAACCATGCGTGTATACTCATATACAGCTAGCTACAGCCGTTCATTGTTATGGGTGGCTGAACACTTAAACTGTGTCGGGTGCAGAAATACTACCGCAAATTAAACTGGATGCCCGAAGGCATCCATGTGCATTAGACCTAACTTAGAAGTGTTTGAATCCAGGTGGGTAGCTGCTATGATCCATATAATAGCCTTATAACTCCAATATCTTGTCCATTTTACAGTATTTTTTAAATATATACTATAGTGTATTTTTATTGAGCACCTTTTTTTGAGTTATTATTGCATTCTTTACTTTAAAATAATTTCTGATGTGACTTTCGCATTTTATATGATTTTGCTCCTATTTATTTTTACTATATTGAATGTAGGGATTTAATAGGTTAGCTATTAGAGGCAAATAAATTAGCCACTACAATGACAGCCTAACTGCCCAAGTTCCTTTTCATATTCTACAAACATACACACCCTATCCCGTAGTCTCATACTACTAACATAATGTCCATCAAAAAGTCCCATATAAAAAAAATCAAGGAATAAAAAAATAAAATAAAATGTGCAAAAAATAATCCTTGTTTCTTCAATCTTCCACCTATGACAATGTCCAAATCTTCCCTTCAATCCAAAAGTACCTAAAAAAAAATAAACTAGATATAGTGCATTATCTTTTACAAAATCAATAAACGTGATAGCATGCAACCACACTGGTGACATAAGTAAACATCACACATGTGAAGTGAAAAAACAGCACACCACTTAACTAGTGGTCCTATGAAACCACCACTGCAATGCGTGACACTCTACAAAACACAATTGTGATCAGTGACAAAATGATGCCAAATACGTGCCACTACACATGTAGGGTAATATACAATTACCCCCTTAAACTTTCTTTGTGCCACATACAGCCTTCACTGGGGGTATGCTATCCTTAAGATGAGTAGATAATGGAATCCCCTCCTCACACAATGACGGGCATCGGGATCCCCGTTCCTCACAGGACAAATGGGAGCAGACTCAGTGGAATAGTATAAATGGTATACATAATTTATTAAACAGCTTACATAATAATAAAATTGCCGTCCATCCTCGCTGATCTCCGTTCTATGCTGAGACCTTCTCCAAAATGGCCGCTCTGCTCCTTCCGGCCTAACGTCTGACGTCACGACCCTGACGCGTTTCGTCACTTCCGACTTTTTCACAAGGGATCCAGACGTCAAGACGGCGGTTCCTCTTATACTGCCAGACACCTGGCAGAACCACCCGCCGCCATTTTAACTAAGGGCACCACACGCCGAAGCCTTATATTCAACACCTCAAGCGGCATGGTGTCTGACCCCTCCTGGAAAGGGAAGAAGGTTTCCCTCAGATCTTGTCCCCAGACATCATCCTTCATAGAGTTCAAGAGTATCACCTTCTTGTCTTCATAGCTGTCAAATCGAGGGTTAAAGTGAAGAGCTAAATTCTTCTCATATGTTCCCAAGTTTATGACAAACTCTTTACAGTCCAACGGAATGAAGCCCTCCACCTCCACGGAGTGACCAGGTTTGAGGCAGATAGTACAAAAGAAAAATTTCTGTCACAGTGTGCCCACCAGTGAAGGAGAGAGTGTAGTAAAATATGGTAAGTATTTATTAGGTAGGTAAAACAGGGATGCATCCAATAAAAACATATGGTGGAAACGGCACCTGTGGTGGAGCTCCGGCGGACATTTCACTTCTGGGACGGTTAGTCTTACTTTGCCGTTTCCACCACATGTTTTTATTGGATGCATCCCTGTTTTACCTACCTAATAAATACTTACCATATTTTACTACACTATGGGCACCTCTTTGTTTTGACCCCGTGTGGGAGTATTTTTCTAGACACTCTTGTACCGAGCTTATCCAGAGAGGGAGCCTCCTGTCACCTGAGAGCAGCACCCTCTTCTCTCTAAAGGGGAATTCTGATCTGGAGCATTAATACCCGTATCCCCGGACCTGATCCCTCTTGAGAGGGGAGCCCTTCTACCCGCTGATCCAGATGCTTTTACCTGATGACACCAGGAGATATTATATTTATTGCACTATATTAGTGCACTTCCGGTGAGTGCGCAATTCTTCTATTTGTTACAAGGCACTATCACCAATCCGGATCTGTGAGGACAATTTATTTGCATTATATTGATTTACCTTAAGGGTCATTACTGTAAACAATTTTATTATAATTCTATGATATACCTTTAGCGCTGCACTATTGTATTGTATTGTTTCATTTCCGAGCATGCGTGGTCTTGGTCACTTGATTTTTACAGAGGAATACTGTACTGTTTAAACGTAAATCGTTTGTTCTGTTATCGTACAAGAAATTTTGGTGCTTGTCCCTTTGGATATTTTTGCATGAACTGTCATGATCGAAAGCTGTGTACTAACAGTCAGATTATTGAACTATCACTCCAAAAGCGGTATTTTTCGTCTGATTTTCTCATCGTGTGCACTAGGCTTTAGGTGGATGTTCCCTTTCTTGACATGTTATATTTATATAGTTTAGCATATGTTCTTTTTTTTTTTTTTTTTTTTTTACTTATTCTCAGAGAGTTGCCAGCATTGACTGTGCAGCTGTCACGACTTTAAGACAATAAATAAATAATGTCATCATGAGTTTCTTGCATAAATAGTGTTTTCTGCACATAGTGATGGGCTTAGTGCTTTCTACAAACATCCATCATTGCAGAAGGAAGGTGTCAAGTATACCATAAAGCCTATACATTACGGTGATCAACAGTCATTCCTAAACTCTAATTACTTCCACATGCATCTTAAATCTCTATGAAAACCTGACCCTGCTGGTCACAAGTCATTGGATTAATATTTCAAAATGTTAATAACCTTAATATAGGCTATCTAGAATAGTGACTTTTTGGCATTTTGGGGACATTGACCTCAGTGCACCAAAAAACCCTTTTTATGCCTTCTTGCCTTTTATATGCACGAAAACCTACAATACTAACCTAGACGTGCCCAGTAGACTTAGACAATAATTTATAGAAATGACTAGTTAAAGAGGAATTCTAGGTATGGATATTTTATAGACAGTTACAATGGGTCAGTTTATACCAATGTAACTATGAATATGCCGTACCTGGCCGATGCCCCTGGAAGCTGGAAATCCCTGAAGTAGACACTGCAACTCCAGTAATCTCCACTTGTTTCTAGGTTTCACGTGCCGTGTTACTGCCCCTTCTCTCCACCTTGTCTATTCAGAGAATGCCTTGCATTCATTTAGAAAATGCAAAGCATTCTCTGAATGGCTCTCATGTTGAGTAGCCAATTTCCTGTGTTTAAAATGCAGCAGGGCAGCTGCTCAGCATGGGACCTGTAAACCTGCTTAAACCAAAGGACACTAGGTGGCAGGGACCTATCAATAGTGTGTAATCAGTGGCACTGACCACACATTGTTACTGTATTAATGTCAGCCCTGGGCTGCCGTACTAGGGTACATATACACTTTATGCATGTAAACGGTAGCACAACTTTACATGAATACGGTGTGCCGACAAATTTTTAAATTCTAGCAAGATACATAAAAACACATAGCCCATGTGCATGGAGCCCTAAGTATATTGACAGTTACATTTGAAATTAAATTACCATATTAAAGCTTCCTGTAATAGCTTTTCAATTTTGTATAATTTTTTAACAAATTCTAAATGTTTAAAGCAAGCTTTTCATATTTTGCATGCATGTTGGTTAATATTTTAAAATGTAATCTTTCACTTACATATTTGTTGCCAGTGGAGGTCAGCAGTATACAGTATCAGTGCAATGCCAACCGGTAAATCCTCCTTTATTTCAGTGGAAGTCTTTTTTTTTAACAAGAAAATTCTGTCTCCAGGGAATGTAATATGTATGAATAAAAAGGCATTCTTATTTGTTGTATTCATATTAATAAAATGAAAACTGAATGAAATAATCACAGAAATTACAAATGGAATTTCATCTGCAAATCTGTTTTTTTTTAACTGGATCTTTTAGCACCTGTACTGTCATATTATGTTGTCTTCACCTCTCTTGCGGTTCCAAAATACAGCTGCCATGTTGCATTGTAAAGTTCATTTACCTGACTGGTCATGTTTCGCTGTACTGCCAGTGATAAATGATTGGAAATCCCTAAGGAGAGCCTTCCGCAGTCACCAGGCAGTGCAGCCACACCTAGAGATTGAGTCAGTGACCTGTAATATTATTTTATATCTAGGTATCCAACTGGGACTTATTTAACACCGTTATTGCTTTATATGATGTTTGCTTGCCTGATATTGGAGTGGAGAATTTAAGATCTAATGTGTGTGCAAAAGGAGCAAAGACCATTCTTCTACTACGGGACCATCAAGGTATGCATGCTGTTATTATTTCTTCATGTGAAAGCATGCTAATATACATGTACCTCTTATTCTCATGATTCAAACAGAGGGTTTGTGTCAACAAGCTTTAGGCTTGTGCCAATATAACATCAAACTACACCAATTTGAGATGTTTCTGACATTCTTTAGAATTTTTTTAACTTGCTTTTAATCTGCTCTTGACCTTACCCTGGCCTGCATTTGACCAGCTTCAAACTGGTTTTGCATTACTCATAGACTTGTATGGAGAAAGAGGACCTCCTTCACATGGGCCATTACCTTACAACTGGGATCATAGGTGTATGTGAACAGCAAATAATGACAGGCAAAGAGGAGCTATAGCTGTTCACCTATAGCTGCACACTCAATGGTTACATGTAGCTGGGGATGGATGTCTGAGCCTGGATGCATCATTCTGCCAGTACCCAAAGGCCAGGCAGATCCCTTAAGCACATTTACTCAGGCACCAGGCTTACAAAGATGGCAAATTTTCCCTTATTTTTGTCTGGTAAAAGGTTGTCCCCGAACCAGAAAGCGATGGGAACTTTCTCTAAAAGAGCCTAAAGATACAGTTGTACTTAAAAGTTTGCATACTCTTGGAGAACTGGTAATATAAATTATGTACTAGTGGTGCACCAAAATGAAAATTCTGAACTGAAATGATTATATACAATCGTATTATATTACATTTTTTAATTAATATAAAAAATATAGCTGGGCTATTGAGGTCGGGCACTAGAGCAGAGTAATGGCCGCGGAGACAGAGCGGTGTCTGCGGAGGCTGTGTATTAGGGCATAGCACTGGCCATGATATGCGTGAGGTTAGCTAATCTTTTCGGCCATTATCGACACCTTTTTTTTTCCTATTGACAAAATGCAGATAACCCTATATTTGGCCAATAATTTTCGGCGCATCACTAGTATGTACCATTTTTAAAGAAAACATGAGTGAGCAGGCAAAACACATTTATTTTATTTCTTATGGGATTCATATTCAACTGTAGGTCTTAACAGAATGGCACAATCATAAAACAAAACAAGCAAACAATTGAAATGCCTCCTGTCCAAAAGTCTGCATACCCTTAGTTCTTAATACTGAGTATTGTCCCATTTAGAATCAATTACAGCGTGCATTCTTTTGTAATAGTTGTCTATGATGCCCTGAATTCTTGCAGGTGGTAAACTCGCCCATTTGTCTTGGCAAAATGCCTCCAGGTTATGCAAAGTCTTTGGTCATCTTGCATGAAGCGCACGTTTGAGATCTCCCCAAAGTGGCTAGATGATATTAATGTCATGAGACTGTGATGGCCACTGCAGAACCTTCAGCTTTTTCTGCTGTAACCACTGGAGGGTGAGCTTGGCCTTGTGCTTAGGGTCATTGGCATGCTGGAAAGTCAAAGAGCGTCCCATGAGCATCTTTCGTGCAGAAGAATGCAAGTTGTCTGCTATTATTTTCTGATATCATGCTGCATTCATCTTGCCATAAATTTTCACAAGATTCCCCATGCCTTTAGAGCTCACAAACCCCCAAAATATCACAGACGGACACAGCTGATCACGTGATGAGGTAAAAGGCCAATCATAGCAGCCTTTTACCACACGATCAGCTGTGCCCAATGACACAGCAGATCACAGAGTAAATACAGTTGCCGGGTATCAGCTGCACTTTCCTCATGCTGGCACAGCGTAAGGAAAGTACTGCCGATAACAGGCAGCTGTAACAGAGGAGATCGACACTGATCATCAGGGCACTGATGACCAGTGCCCTGCACTGCTGCCCATCAGTGCCACCCATCAGTGCCCAGCAATGCCACCACAGTGCACATCAGTGTCACCCAGCAGCTGCACCCATCAGTTCCAGTCAGTGCTGCCAGTCAATGTCATCAATCAGCGCTGCCCATCAGTACCTTCTCATCAATGCCCACCAGTGCCACCTCATCAGTGCCACCTCATCAGTGCAGCCTATCAGTGCTGCCTATCTGTGCCACCTCATCAGTGCCCATTAGTGCTGCCTATCAGTGCAGCCTCATCAACGCACATCAGTGAAGGAGAAAAATGACCTGTTTGCAAAATTTTATAATAAAAACAAAGAAAACCTTTTTTTTTTTGCTCTTTTTTTGTTTATAGTAAAAAAAATAAAACACCCAGTGGCGATTAAATACCACCAAAAGAAA